GAAGAGAGCTGCCCTGGAATGACCCCAGCTCACACTGATTTCTGCCTCAATACTTTATTCCTGACTTTATCATGGAATAAGACAGTGTTCAGTCATGCTCCACAGGGTACTAGGAGCCCATGGTCTGGGTGATGTTCTATGTAATCTGCCTTGTCAATACCCATTGCTCATGTCCACGGCAGTGAAAAGGGTTTTGCCTGCTGACTGGATGCTTCTGAACCTGAAGTGCAACACCGACTCCTTCCACATCCTGCCTGTCCTGTTTTCCTTTCAAGCGTCTGCTTTCCATTCAGGGTTCTTGGAGCACGTGGCAAACAAGTATTGTACCCCAGGAGATGTACAGACAAGGAGTGCGGTGAAGGATTCCCTCATGACAGGTGAGGGAAGTGCCATTCTACAAAAGCAGCTGTGGGGGGCACTGCCATCTATTCCTCTGCCTTAGCTGTTGGATCATGTTCCCGTCAGTCACCTCTATAGGAGCCAAATCAATCCATTGCTACTTTACAATCTTCTATGCAATTGGCTGCCGAAAGCAACTCTTTTGGGGAAAATAAATGTCACTTATATGGAAGCTCTGCTTTCTTACTCAGGCAGTGAATGAACTTACCTGGAACATAAGGGTTCCCAGGGCTGCAAGGTCTTCTTCCTAAGCAGCTTGTGCCAAGATAACCAAATTCAGGTTTGGAAGTCAGAGAGGAAAGACCAGAGGTTACAATGGATGCAAATGGATTTCTAGCTCCAAAGGCTAGAAATACGGCACACTGCAAGGGCTTGGCTTTCCAGAAAGTGCCATGTCTGGGTCATTATTTTTGCAAGGGATGTGTGCTTTGATTGCTTCCAGTGGCAAGCTTGGTCTTGCAGTGATTGTAGGTTAAGGTGGCAAGCAGGGGAGAGGAAGAACACCTGACAGCAGAATCAGGTGCAGCTGGTGATGGAAAGGCCTTCAGGCAGTTGGGACAGCATTATGAAACATGTGTGGCATGCACAGCGGTCAGATCTCGTATGTGCTCAGCTGTCATCATTAGCATGATGTGCTGCTGGTGTAGGAACACCTTCCCTGCTGTTCTCGGAGGGGATGGTGAATATGCCAGTTACAACGAGGTGACAGTGATGCAGTAGATAAAGAGCAGTCTGGGTTGGGAATTCATGTTTTCTGATCCTTCAGAGTGCCCTTTGAGCTTGATATGGATTCTGTTTGCAGGCAGCTTGGGAAGGGATGCCCTGGATACTTGCCAGCCTGATGCAATGTGCAAAGTTTTGTGTGGACCTGGGGCACTGCTGTCATGGGGTCAAGAACAAGAGGTGCCAGACCCCTTGCAGCATTGATAGCTTCTGATATGCAAGACTAGTGAAGCAGTAGTCCCTGAAAACTTGTTTTCTTGTTCTTAGACAGGCTGATAATTCCTGCCTGAGAAAAAAAAAATCATGGCCCTGTATCTGCCTGAAGAGAGGATGAAGTTCAGGCTGTCTCAAGCTACCAAAATGTCATCAGTCTAATCTTGTCTTCTGAAAGTACCTGAACTTCTTCCCACCTTCACGTCGCTTGCACATTTAATAAGTTTGGGTTTTGCTCCATCATCCAGGTCAGTAGCAAAAGCCTTCAACAGAGCAGAGATATGACAGACCCCTGCAAAATCCTTAAATCAGCAAGTCCTTCCTTTGTGGCAGATGAGGCTGCTGATGCCTGCCCTCTTCACGTGGTTATCTGAGCAGTTTCATACCTGTCCTGTCACAGTTTCTCTTAAGACCGTATTTCCCTACCTTATGGGAACAGCACGCAGGACAGTGTCAAAAGCCTTTCTGAAGCTGAGATGTTTGACAGGTAGTGCTGTCTGTGCCGAAGGCCTGTTACCCTGTTATAGGAGGAAGGTAGATTGGCTTGATGTGACTTGCTCTTGACAAATCCATATTGGCTGCAACTCATCTCCTTGTTATCTCATTGATTTTTTTTTGAGGGCTTGGAGTTGGTTCCTTGGGAACAGAGCAGCGTGCAAAGGAACACGAGCTTCCTGTGTGCAGATACACGAGGTGTGTGTTGACCATTGCCACTGAAGCCTTTCTCACTCCTGGTTCCCAAATTGCTTGTTGCTTCTTAGCACCAAAATGGTGACGGTGTGGTTATCTGTGTATCCTTGATATGGTTTTGTCACACCCTAGTGGCCAGATAGCACAGTGGTTGTGGATACAGTGCTGCTGCAGCTTCAGGGTTTTTTGCTTTTGCTCTTGCCTTTTGCTCTTCCATGGGAAGGTTTGGTCCAGCCATGTGGAAGCCTGGGTTTCAGTCCCCCCTTGCTCACAACATGCCTGGCTATCTCCTTGTGGGCTCCCAAATCTTCCCACCTCTGTTCAGAGCTGTTGGCTGTTGAGCAAGTGGATGGTGAGCCTCTCTCTGCTCCTGTAGCACAAGTTATTTTCTCCTGTTTTAGAAAGGCTGGTGCTTTTTTTCTCCCATTAAGGGGCTTGGGTAGAAAGACAGGATGAGATGCAATTTCCATAGTCTCTGTCCTGTGAGCTCCCACTGAATACATGAGCTGCTTTCTGGCGCTGTAACAACGATGCCAGCAAAAATAGCTTTATGGAATCAGCACCAGTTCCTCACCAACTTGGAGGAGACTTGGCTAAGACTGTTTGCTTATTGGGCTCCTGTGGCTGCGTTGGGATCACCAGTGTTTAGCATCTTCAGTGAGGAGTCTTAGGGTCAGCACCTGGCTAGTAGTGCAGCATGCAGACTCCAAAGCTGGGGCAGAGGGAACTCTCCTCACACCTCAAGCTGGGGCCTTGAGGCCAGGAGTGTTTGATGCTTGGGCAGTTGCCTCCTGCCTTAGTGAAAATGAGAGGAGGGAGGTTACCCCATCCTGAAAAAGGTATGCACATTTAATAAGTTTGGGTTTTGCATCATGCTGTTGTGTGTGAACAGAGCTGCTCTGACTTGCTGGTGAACACAGTCACTGTCACAAGCTCCTTAGTGGCTGTTTCTTTTTTAGAGCTTCCTGAGCAACAGGGATGATGAAAAATGTTCTTTATGGTCTTTGGGTTACGAGCACCTAAGGAGGCTCTGGTGTCTCAGTTGTTAGACCTCTTTTGCATTCTCAGTAATTGAGTCTGAAATCTTAGGGCTGCTAACATGTCCGTGCCGGCATTGAGCTGCCCCAGTGGGATTGCTGTGCAGATGGAAGCCTTCTCTCCTTGTACAGCAAACCATGCTCAGGTCTGCTGGCTACTTGTCCTACTCCCTTCCTGCTACAGGGTGTTCTGCTGTACTGAGAGCAGGCTGCTCCCCAGGCAGGTGTCTGAGTGATTGTATTTGAGCTGGGAAAGAGCAGAAGCTGTCCTGGGACCTTTAACATCTGGAAATAACTGGAGATATGGAGAGGCTGCTTCAAATTCCCATCAACCTATCAGAAGAAAACTGCTGAATTGGTGCCCTTTTATGAAAACCATGAACGTGTTTTCTCCTTACACATGTTTAGGAAGTCAATGCTCTTGTGATCCCATGTTGCTTTCCTTGCAGAGCTTTTATCTCACCTTTGTCTTATGTAAGGAATATAGCTGAATTCTGATTTCCCATTAATGGAACTCTTGTGCTCTTGCCCTCCTCCTCACTTTGATCGTGATATCTTTGAATATTTGTTTCTAAAGTGTCTGAGTAGAGTGGATGGAAGAGAAGATATCCAAACCAGAAAGTTAAGCACAGGTCTTTCTCAACAGCTTATCTGCCTGTTCACAACATGCATCTGTCAGTTCTCACACAGTTCTAGGTGAGATTTCCATGTAGGAGATCTGCTGAAGGTCTGAGTGTTTCACCTGCTGCCTATGCTGGCTCCAAGCTATTGCAAGGAGAGGCTGGGGGGCATGGGAGTACTGTCAGATAGCACTGGTGAGTGATAGCTGGTGGTGGCTGTGCAGCCAGACACCCAGCATCAGAGCTGCCATGCTCATCAGGCTGTGCGTGCCCAACCTGGGCTCTTCATGTTTCCAAACAGCCCAGAGGTGTGCACAACCACCTTTGTTGTAAGGGTTTTTGATAGAAGATGATGTGCTGAGAAGCAGGCTGGCCCTTTTCCCAGAGCTGGAAGTGGCTGAAGCTGGGGTGTGGTGGGCAGCAGGGCAGGAAGAAGGCGATTCTGTTCTTTAGAGACTCAGAAATATAACCAAGCCTGGGGCTGAGCAGGGTGTGCTCTTTCCTACCCAGATCTCTAATCAGAAACAAATCCTGCAATTGTATCAGCTGGAAACTCTGAAGCTTCCTGCTGTCCACTGAAGGGTAAAAGAAGGCTCAGTTCCTGGCCCTGCTCTGCTGACGCTCTCTTGGTTTTCCTCTCCTCCTTAGCCACCGGAGGGCAGGCAGGATTCCTGTAATTACCAACTACTGCGGAAGAAAAGCACCGGAATAATTAAAAAGCAATTAATGTTTGCACTGCTGGATCTGCTGTGGCATTGCTCTTTCCAGTTGCATGCTCTGCCTCTGGTCCCCTCGCCACCTACTTCACTCTGTAGATTTTCCTTTATCAGTTGCTTTTCATTTTCATTCGAGCTAGCTGTGAGAGCTGAAGTTCAAGTTCAGATTAAGTTACTGCTGAGACGTGCTTTGCTTGGGGGGATTATGGAGTTGGCTGTGATGTGTTGGCTGCCAGGTAAGGCAAGAGAAGGCAAAGCCTTTTAGCAGGCTGCGATCAGACAGAAGCCTCTGTGTCCCAGGGCTGGAAATACTGCTGCGGGGTCAAACGCTCCTAGGCTCAGCACTACACTGGTGTAACCATTACAGCTTCATTATGGAACTGGTCGATCCTTGGTGAACTGGAGCTTCTGGATCAGCACTGTAGAGCTGTCAACGCTGGTGAAGATTCAAGCAGCAAGTGGAGAAGAGCAAAGACTGTTGCCAGTGGTGCATTTCAGTCTGAAGCAGGTCTCGAGTGTAGCAGAGAGAAAAATTGGAGCTCTGAGATACCAGCTTTTTCAATTGCTTGGGTGAGCTCAATTTCTGTAATTACTTCCTCCAGGAAGCTCCCTGGCTGTGGCTGTTGGGCATGTTGAGGAGATGCATCACTGAAGGATTAAAATACAACTGCTGTGAGCTGGGAAGCAAAGCAGGCCAGGACTAGAAGCTGCCATGGAAGGAGAGGTAGGACATTAATGGATGCTGTACATGCAATGGGAGTGGTTAGAACGCACAGCCTCTGTACTGAGTTTGAATAACTGATGCTGAATGGCCGTTTCTTTCAGTATGTTAAAAATACTCCAGTTTCTCCATAAAGTCAAGAAATGCAGCTGCAGTTGCCTAGCACAGATGTGGATGACTGTCCTCACTCAGAGCCCTGGTAGGAGCTGTAGTGCTGGCACTGAGCTGATATTTTAAGGGCCCTGTAAGAGAAAATGGCATTTTGTATTTAGTTGGGTAGCTGGGCCCAGCTGGGAGTTCAATCAGTGGTTTAGGGCAACCTGCTCCTTCCAGCAGCTGAGCGCAAGCTACCCTCAGGCAGCTGCGTTGCTCTTTCGAGGCAAAAGGCCCAGCCCATGAAGTTGTGTGCGACTGAGACAAAGCTTTGAGCTGCAGAGTTCACAAAATGTGCTGTCAGAGTTGAGAGCCTCCCCTGTTCCAGCACAGAAGGACCTTTGTGCTTGGCTTGAGAGAAGGTTTCCAGTTTCCCCATCTCTGGTGGCTGTTGGGTCACAGTGCTGTCGGACTGTATCCCTTACCCACATGCTCCCTTCTTTCTGTGTCTCAGTGAAGCAGAGCACTCTGAAAAACCACCCCAGCTTGGAGGGATTCACTGTGCGATACCTGTGTTCCTACTACTCCTAGAGCAGAGGGAATTGGGATCTTCTGTCTGTCCAAACTGGTCACAGTGGGGCAGGAGCATAGAGGGGAAGGTATGCAGCAGCCAGAGCAAGCAGCATTTGTGTGCAGAGGAGGGGGTTGCTGTAGCAGCTGAGAACTACGCATCCACCTTTGAATGCGCCAGAGCTGCAAAAGATCATTCTTCCAGACCTATCTCTTACCCCGAACTTCCTGCACTTTGCCCTGCTCTTGACTGGACCCACTGCTCTATCTTATGGCTGCAGTATCCCCTGCCATCACACCACAGCACTGGAATTGTGCTGTGGCTGCAGTGTAACAGGCACATATGGTAGCACGGTGATGCTGCCATGTCCATCCCACGCCCTCCAGGACTTTCCTCCTTGCTCTCATTTCTCTTGGTTACTCCAGGAGAATTTCAGCTGGGTTTGAGGTTGCTGGAAGGGCTGCTGTTCTCTGAGCTGTGGTCATCCCACCCTGCCTGCTCCCTGTGTCACAGGCCATGCCTTGCTTGCCGTGTGTTTCCAGCTCTGGGACGTGCACACAGAAGTGCTGCACAGCTTAACAGGGTCCAAGGAGATCTCTGAAGGCATCTGTGTGGTTGAGATAGTGCTATCTGCTGGGAGGGAGGGAAGGAAGGACTGACAGGCCTGCCTGACCTCCGGAGCATGAAGAGACTAAAACCTCACGCTTGACTCTCTCATCTGATCTATCAGATCTCCCTCCACCTGCAGAAACCTGAAGAAAAAAGAATTGATAATTATGGTAGCGTGGTGCTGGAAGATGCTTGGAAAACAAGTGATTGTACTAATGGAGAGCAGTAAGAGGGTAGCGTGGTACTCACAGCCCTCGAGGATGCTATAAATTGGGTCCTGCGTGATGCTGAGCCACTGCCACACCATATGGCAGCCGGTGTGGGCTGTAAGTCTAAGCCCTCGGCGATGCCTACTGCCACCCAAAATGGCTCAGAGCCATCTGCTGTGACTACCCCTCCTCCCACCCCCTGCAGCAGCCATGGCCCGAGCATGTATTTCCTGCAGAGCCATCCCATCTTTCTCTTAGGGTGCAGAAGAATTTGGAAAGCTGTAAAACCAAATGTTTCATGTAAACCTTTGTGTCAGCAGCATGTTAATGTGCTGGGAATGTTAGGGATGCTTCCTGCTCCCTTAATTTGTTTGTTCTCTTCTGAAAGGCGTCAAGGGTGTTGGAAAAGCAGCAGTCTGGAGAGCCTGTGGCCAGGCCGAAATTCCTCAAACAACAGACAGTTGAATGTTTGTTTAAAATTCTCTTCCACCTAATCTCCACAGATGCTACCAAGATAACAACATTTTTGCAGGGTTACTCAGCAACGAAAAAAATATTTGGGTCAAGTTGAGCTGTTTACATTCATCTTGGTTTATCCATCTTGTGGGGAATGAAACAAGTTTCTTCAGATTTTCCCCATCCTTTTATTTTTATCTCGGTGCTTTGTATAAAAAAAGTCTTCCATGTGAATCATGGATATTATGATTCCAGTCATGATGGAGGCCTTGTGACATCTCCTTGCTGGGGTGGTACATGAGGATGAGTAAGCTGGTTTGGTGCAGTGAAGCCCAGCTCGTCATCTCTCTCCTGCACTTCCCCAACCTTCTGGTTCTGAGCAGAATGGCCCCAGTTTGTGAACTGCTGATGGTAACAGACATAAGTGGAAGCTCTGTCTTTTAATGAGGTGCCCGGCAGCCCTGGGTTTCACACGTGGTTCCCAGCCTGTGTATGAAGAGGCTCTCCAGAGAACAAACCTGTTCTTTTCACACACATTATGTTTTCATGAGCTGCTTTACTTTTGGATTCTAAGTGAAGGTGCAAATAACAAAATTACTTTCAAAAGTCAGGTTCAGCATTTGGTGTGATCACGAAGCCCTGGAAAGTCTCTGAAAGGTTTCTCATACTGCTCTTGTGGAAAGTTCAGATTGCCATCATGTCTGTGGGGACATTTCAGGACATTAATAAGTCCTGAAAAGGCACTGGTTGACTGAGGATTGTCCTACAGCTTTAGAGGAGCACCCCACACCCATTGCACTGCATTGGGCTTTGATTTGTGATCCGTGCAGTGGGGATCCTGTTGGCCAAGGTGAATCAAAATGGCGGGCGGTGGCAAGCTGCAGAGGATGGGCTGTGGCAGGAGGAGGCCGTGCTGTCTGCAACTGCTGTCAAATGAAAACCAAGAGGAAAGCCTTGAGGGAAACAGACTGGAGATGCTGCCATATCAATTCCAAGGGCTGGCTGAGTAACCAGGGGCCTCCTCCATGTCTGAAGCCAGTGGGTGTTACTTTAGGACCCAGGGACCTGACCATGGGGGTGGCACCCGGTGCTGCTGCGGGGCTTTGGGCACGGCGGGGATGGCTGCTCTGAGCAGCAGGGCTGCTGGGGAAGACAAGAAGTGCATTGCAGGCACACGGATGGAAAGTAGGTCAGCAGTGAGGAGCAGGTCTCTGTGGGCATTAGCATGCTGGCGTGTGGCTGGCAAACTGAGGGAATGAAGAAAGCTGTTTTTATCCTTTCCTTTTGCATGCGTACTGTGGAGGGAAGGAGAGTCTTCAGAGAGAGCAGGCCAGATTCTTCTCCACAGCAAATCTTTGTAACTCTGTTGATTTAGTTTGGCACCTCACTGATTCATACTAGTGGAGAAAGTGGGCTGGAGTGTTTTGTGTGCTTGTAAATAATTGAAGACCATGTGAATACAATGGTGCTAAGGAGGATGGGAATAAAGCAGAGACTCCACAAAAATGTAGGATTTTTGCCATGAGGCTTTTATTTGGAAACACATCGGTATCTTGGCTGCAAGGTGCCGTGGTTGACTGTGAGGTTTTTCATTGTAATTATAAGGACTGGAGCTGCAGAGCTGTTGAAACCACAAAAAATGGTGAGCACATGTCTGATGGGAAGAGGGAGGCTGTGCCAGATGTTCCCCCTCCCTGCTGCCAGGCTGGGTTTGATAAACACGAGTCCTTGCTCTGGCAAGGTGCTGGGTTGACAAACTGGAGATTAAAGCCCTCATTACCCAGGGCAAGGTGGTGACAGCACCAGCGTCCCTTGTGCTGAGGTCCCAGTTAGTGCCACGCTGCTTGGTGAATGCTGGCACGTGCCTTGTGGTGAGGGCACGCGGTGCAACTGCAGCCTCCTGCTTCCTGCCAAAAGCCTCCTCGTGAGAGATGGCTGATGGCAGCAGGGCTGGTGGGAACTGGCATCCTGGCTGGGCACAGGTCATCAGTTCTTAACATCCCTGCGGAGACGCTCACACGTGAGAAGTGGGGCTGGGAGTTCCAGGAAGATGCAGGCTTTGTTAGAGCCTGTCGGTTGTTTTATTGCCCATCACGGTGAGAAATAAATGTGCCTAATTTCTTGTCCACCTCCCGAGATGCTGAGTGGGATGGAGATGGGGATGGAGGCAGCTGTGCAGCCGTAGGAGCTGCTGCCTCTTTGTGCGCAGAGCTGGCATTGCTGGCTGTGGCAGCAGCTGCCATGTTGTGTTGAGCTCCAGTTTTGGCGGCGCAGTGAATTGCTGTGCTTAGCCTCTTGGGGAGGCCTTGTATTCACTCTGCTCTTCTTTATTGCTGTCTTAAGTGTAGAAATAAAAGTCAAAGAAATGCCCATTTTGCTCTGAGTGTGGGACAATGTAGCTGGCTGCAGGTGCCTTTCATTTCTCGGGCTGTGGGCACAACTTAATGCTGTAAGTTATTTCTATCAAGAACTTGGGCTTTTACTGCTGTAGCATTCATTAGCTGCTTGCTACACTGCAGATCCCTTCCTGTTGCAAGACTCTTTGTGTGCTCCAGATCCCTGCTCTGGTTTGGGAGCAGCCTGCACAGGACAGAGCATGGAAAGGTGAGGTGAAGGTGTGATGAATGGTGCATTAAGCTTGAAATCCCAGGGAAGGATGCCTGAGTACTGCAGAGGGAGGTGGAAGGAGGAGGAAGGATGGGCCAGAGCATCCCAAAGTCTCAACTGTGGGATGGTAGGGTTCTGTGTTTTGGGGGACCGCTGCCACTTATGAATTCATTCTGTAACAAAAGAGTCATGTGGAGAATGCCACATAAAACAGCAGTGCTGTCCCAGTGGGCAAGCAGGAGAAATGCACAATTTGGGGAACCTGTGGGGGGGCTGCAGGCCCCTCCCAGAGCAGCAGCTCTGATCTGGAGCTCACCGGAATGCCTGCCTTAGGAAGAAAAGGAGAACCTGTGGAGAAATGTCAAACAGCAATCGTTAGAGAACACGGTGCTGGCAAGATGTCAGCCCTCACCCCCCAGACTCATTCCAAAACACATATTGAAGGTTACCCAGACAGC